TATATATATATAGTCAATTATTCGTCGTAAATTAGTAAAAACAGAAATAGGAAGATGTATTTTTTAAAATCTCTAATATACACCTAATAACACGAGTTATGCATTTCACCCTGATGAAAATATTTGGTCAAATGTATTACAACGGTGCGAAAAAGTACGAGGAAAATGATTTTGAAATCGCGTTAGAGAAAATAAACTAATTGATTTTTTTTTTTTTACACTGTACAAAGAAAAGACTGCGTAAAATAAAAATTGAGTGTACAATATAATATTTACGTAAAATTATATTTTACCTTTTTAATACAATTTTTAAACACATTTGTCAAAAAGAAATATATATTTAGAATTGTTTTTTTTTTAGAAATTATTTTCTGCCGAGTTTCGAATATATACAAGTTCTGAAAATTTCTCTTTTTTTTTTTTTTTTTAAATCAATTTATACATTTCAATACGTGTGCCTGTGAATTCATTAAAAAATATATCTTTTAATTTCATGAAATAAGAATTTTTTCAAATTATTTTCATTCAATTTTTTTCGCGGCACGTATGTGTTTGTAACACGTCTATGCATTTATTATGTACATGTATATACATATCTGTTATTTTCTTTTTTTTTTTTTTATTGTTTCTATAATTTAAAAGGAAACGGGAGCGATGAAATATTTTTTGCGAATAAATATTGACAGATCGGAACAAATATTTTTCTCCTATATCTACCTATATATATATATTTAAGTCAGTTGATACTTACATAGTTCTGTGTGCCGTTTGACGATAAAAGATTTACTTAAAAAGGTGAACGTTCAAAGGATCCGAACATACGTTTACATAAATAACTTATTTGCGAAACTAAATGCATACGTATAAATGATTTTCATATTGATTGATCATCTTTCAGATTGTCTAATTCTCTTTAAATACTTTAATTGTTAACTCATATTTAGTTTGTTAAATCGATGAGAATTCTCGATCGATATCAACGCGATTTCATAAAATTTATTTTGATTTCAAATAAAATCCAGTTAAAATTGAAACACGAAACTTTAAACAAATTAATTAATCGCATGTGTAATATTTTAATGGTTTTACGTTTTAATTGGAATCAGAAACAAATGATTGATTTATATTGTCTGGTTTTTAAAAGAGAAATACAATGTTTTCTCGACGTATGCGAGTTAAAATACAGGATATTTCAAAATTCGCTTTTACTGACAAAAAATACAAAACATCAATATTGGCTTAAAAATTACAACATATTATTTTTCATTTCATGGTATGAATCTCCAATAGAAATGTTGTTAAAAATAATATGAGCTCACGTTGTCGTCCTTTCACATATTTGGCAAGAAAACATTTCGAATTTTTCAGCTTGCTAATGTAACTTTTGGATTATTCTGTATATGAACAATTTTCGATTGAAATGGATTCACGTCAATGAACACAATGAGTTTTCAAAATAATTGCTAACGAAATATAAAAGTTAATTATATAAACGAACTTAAAAGTTAATTACTTCTTGTAAAATTTCGTAATATTTGTCTAAGGATAAAAAGATCAAGGATATCAAGAAGGAGGAAAGTTTGATAAGTGTAGTTAGCAAAGTATGTACGTCATTTTACGAAGCCAAGTATTATTTAGGTTCGTCGGATTAACAAGTAATTCTGAGTTTAGCTTTAGTTGTCTATACCAGAGCACGTCGTGTGTTTAAAACCTCTACACAACTGCCATTATATATAAATGTATGTATTACATATATGTATATATATATATATATA